CTGGGAAATAACTGACCTCATCAACTTAGCCCTGGCCACTGAACCCGATCCAGGTAATGGTCCCTCTAATCGTACATATGTTCCATCTTCTGTCAGGTCCCGTCTTATCCAGTGGATGCATGCCGCCAAATTCTCTGCTCATCCTGGAGTCAGTAGAACAGTAGCTCTCATCTCCAGACGCTTCTGGTGGCCCACTCTCCACAGGGACGTAAAGGAGTATGTGTTGGCTTGCCCCACATGTGCCCGTAACAAAGCCTCACACCAACCTCCTTCTGGCCTGCTTCAACCACTTCCTGTTCCCTCGTGTCCCTGGTCCCATATCGCCAATGATTTTGTCACCGGTCTCCCTGTCTCTCGAGGTATGTCCACTATACTCACCATTGTTGACCGCTTCTCGAAGTCCTGCCACCTTGTTCCCCTCAGAAAGCTTCCCACGGCCTTCCAGACAGCTCAGCTCCTCATTAAACATGTTTTCCGGCTTCACGGCATCCCCCAAGAGATCCTCTCGGACAGAGGTCCTCAATTCATCTCCCAGGTATGGAAGGCATTCTGCTCTGCGCTCGGCTGCAAACCCTCTCTCACCTCAGGTTACCACCCCCAATCAAATGGTCAGACCGAGCGCATGAACCAACAGTTGGAATCCACCCTTCGCTTCCTCACATCGAACAACCCCGCGGATTGGAGCCAATTTCTCCCATGGATTGAATATGCCCATAACTCCCTCAGATCTGCATCCACTGGACAATCCCCATTCCAGGTCAGTCTCGGGTATCAACCACCTCTTTTTCCCGCAGATGAGAGAGAGATATCGGTGCTGTCCGTCAATCAACACATCCGCCGTTGCCAGAGGATTTGGAGGGAGACCATCGCCACACTCAACCAGTCATCAGTGTCTGTTAAACGCTTCGCTGACGCCAGGAGACGTCCCGCCCCCGAGTACTCTGAGGGCCAGGAGGTATGGCTCTCCACTCGAGACATCCCCCTCAAGGGGATGTCTCGAAAACTCTCCCCAAGATTCATCGGACCCTATAGGATCACTCGAGTCATCAACCCCTCAGCTGTTCGTCTCCAATTGCCTCAGTCCCTCCGGATCCACCCCACCTTCCACGTGTCTCAGATCAAGCCTGTCACCT